GGGGAATTCTGGGAGTTGAAGTCCACACATCTTCAAGTGGCCAAGGTTGAGAAACACTGGGGTAATGGGATTAAACAGTTTAAGAACCACTGAACTAGAAGGATTGGAAAAGGCCTCTTAAAAATCAGATTCTAGCTGCTGATCTTTAAGATTGCTGTCTGTCTTCCTCCTCTCCTTCCTCCTGCCGCTTGGCAGCTATCGATGCGATTTGTTCTTCGGGAGTTTCTGTTCCAAAGAAGGACAATGTTCTTTGTGCCAAACCATGTATCTAGATTTTTCAGCCATCGTCTTCAGTGCTCTGTTCGCCTTGAATCTTTTCTCATTTCTTACATCGATGCTGTACTTAGTATTTCACCCTGCGGATTGTGGATCCGAAATATTCCAAGTGTCTTTATTTAATGGCATTCACATCTTCTCTTTAAGATATGGGGCCTGCCATTCAACACTAAAAAGGATGGTTATCCCCAAATCCTCTGAATTTGCCCAGGACACTTTTCAAACCACCTGTACAGGTGGCAGATCTCTGCACCCAGTGGCAGTAAATCAAATCATTTTACTCTGCTTTGTGTAAAGCTTTGTGTATCTGTTTTAGCTTTCCTTTTTTGCTTCTGTCATTTTGCCTCGTTGCAGGTTGTGATTCCCCTATGAACGTGTCTAGGGAACCAGCAAGAAACGGATGTCCTTTTCTTGAAAGGGACGTTCCGTCGGCCAACAATTGAGGTTGTTGGACTAGATCCAGGATGGAGAGGAGCAGATTAGAAATTACTGGAAGATCTCAGAATGCTCTTTGTTAAATCAGGAAGCGTTGCTGATTCCAGATTCTAGAACAGCAGCTGTTAAGTTTTCCTTCTTTCTTTTTCTTCTCCTGAATTAGTTTGCTGGAAAAGAGCACCCTGGCTGCATTCACACAACAAAATTAATCATGTAAAGACTAACATTTGCACCACTTGCTCAGTTCATTTAAACCTTGGTGGCCGAGTTTTTTGTGGAAATCCAGGGAAATGCAATGATCAGTTTAAGTGTCTGATGCAAAGGCAGCTGTGCGTGTGTTAGGGCTAGACCCTTTTAGGTGACCCCAGTTCCTGAGTGAGAGCAAGCTTCAGAGAAGACCTTTTCTTCGTTGTTAATATGTCTGTCTCCTGAACCATTACTGATAACTTGCTCCTTTTAATATTTTCAACCGCTAAAGTTCTGCCGTTCTCCAGACCATACTCTTAAATCTGGCCTGTGCCCAGAACTTAATGGATGTGTGAATGCTATGTTGAGGGGAAAATGCCCGATTGAGTAAGGAACCAAAGCATTTGGAGAGAGATGCAGCCAAGTATTCTCTATTGGTGTGCACCACTACAGTGATCGCTGGGTTCCTTGCCAAAGGAGCGCAGAAGAACCCCGAAACCCACAAGGTCACAGGTTATATACCCTCTGAAATGATACGTAAGAATTACAAAGGCAGTGTAAATTATAGCAGGAACGTTATAGATGGAATGTAGCATTTGGTACGAACATTGAGTGACCCAATGCCTCTAAATTCCATGTTTCTAAGGAGGCTCCAAGCCCCCTCTTTCTACTGATACTAATACCTTCCAACATAAACAATGTCCTACATTATGACTTTCCTTTCCTACCAAGGAAAAGACGACAACCTGGTTTCTGTTATCTGGGTCCCTCCCCTCCAGGGTCATCAGGCAAGGCCTGTTCCTTCCGCAGTGCAGTTCACAATCCCTCACGACAATCATGTACTGTATGTAAGAATAGAACATTATTGGTCCCCCTCCAGCCAAATCAGAGAAACCACAGGAAGTGATATTTAAGAACAGTATAAAATTTGGAGAGCATTTGGAATGTAGATATTGTTTGGTGGCTGAAGGTGTGGTTTACACAACCGTAGAGGTGTGTATAGTGAGAAATCTGACCCCCCCCCCCGCAAAGGTTTCCTGAGTCGCCCCAGGAATATTTCTTCTGCCAGTGGGCAAAATGCCTGCGTTCGTGCATGCTTAAGCAAGTTAGAGAAAGATCTCACAGCTGCATCTTCACAGTTAGCTTGGCTCATTTGAATCTTGGTTAGGTGTATTTTGTGGCTTCACGCACTGCACGAACCCAGCCGTTTGGTAATTTACGGTTCAGGGTATTGTGCAAATCCAGAAAATGGGTTAGTGCCGTAAGCAAGGTAATGCTGTGTTTTGAGAACTACCAAGCAGATGAGCTTGACAGGTTTAAAGAAGAGAGAGGATGTTACCTTCCCAAGGAGAACTAGACATGGTTGGATATTTGCTTGCTTAGTTGCAGTGGGAATGCCAAAGAATACATGCATGAAAGAATGAGGAAACGCTCTCCCTCTTCATTTTTGCTGGAGGCTTTTTTGAGGTTTAACAGTAGTGAGGAGTTGCTGGTACTTAAGAAGTTGGCATTGATCACTGCAGCTAAAAATTAATGACTTTATTTTGCCAGCACATGGAGCAGTGCTAACAATTCTGCCCTCCCAGATGTTTGCTCAGTGGAAGCCATCCTTTGAACTCATCGCTGACCAGAGGCCAGTCTGGCAGCCAAAATCTTCCAGTCTTAGGTCAGCCTTCTCCCAGGCTGGTTCCTCCAGCTGTCATCCCAGCATCCCTGGGCCTCTTGGCCAGATCCTGTAAACTCCTGACTTGCATAGCAAAGCAAGTCATACTTGACCTTTCATTGGTGTCTGAAGCCATCTTAACCGGGTCTCTCGTGGATGGGCATGGTCTTCCCCAACCTGTCATCTTCTAGGTGTGCCCAGAGTGCAACGTCCAAGGCTGGATCGGGGCTTTTGTCTGTTGCACGTGAGCCCTCTTGTTGAAGTTCTGGCTTCTGTTCTTCTAGGGGTGGCCGGAAAGGATGTTCTCATCAGTGAAGCCATATGAAAATCAGCGGTACTCTGCTTTGAAGAAGGACTGTCAGAGGAGGAAAGTCCTGTTTGAAGATCCGCTGTTTCCAGCCAATGATGATTCACTCTTCTACAAGTCCCAGATTCAGGGGATCCAGTGGAAGCGACCCAAAGTAAGGCCTGAACTGTAGGGAGATGGATCCTGAAATGTGTTGGGGTTCTTGATATCAGAGATGAACTTGAAGGTCCCTGCTGTGGTTGATGTGATAGTGCCATGGACACATTTGAACTTGTCTCTCTCTCTCTCTCTCTTCCTTCAGCCTTATTTCTGATTCCCAAATTAAAGGGGCCTGATCATATTCATTTTCATTTCCCAAACCAGCACAAGATCTATAAAACACCTTTTGCCCATACTGTTCCTCTGCTGCACCTTGGGTAGGGGGAGGACTGTTTTGGTAGAATAGCTTTTCCCGGTCTGGGATCTTTCAGATGGATCACAATGGCAACACCCAGGATTCCCCAGCCATCAGACTGGCTAAGAATTCTGGGAGATGGAATCCTTCACATCTGGAGGATTGAAGAAGGCTGATAGAAACAACCAGTTCTGGAGATTCAGCAGATGTTTTATAAGACCTTCTTAGAAGGCTCTCCAAATCTGCTGCACTTTTCAAAATGTGCCTGGATTATGGTGTAGAAAAGGTGGTTTATATCCAAGTCTGGAAAGTGATTCTTTTTCAGCTGCAAGGATAATGTCATTCGTTTGAAATACTGGCAGTCCGAATTAGATCACTCTGTTAGGGAGAACTTTGCATTGTTCTAAGTGGTGGAACTTCTGCATTTAAATCCAGAATTCTGGAACTTTGGTTGTTTTAGCAAGCGAGTCAAAATCATCCCAGTGCCAAGTGTACCAGAAGCAGGAATGAAAATGCATTCAGAATAGCGGTATAAAGGTCCAAAATCAAAAATCCCTATTTTATAACTAGGAACCTGTGAGGCTAGTTGGTGCATCTTCAGGTGAGAATATACCTCATGTTAGTCCATTTTATTAATCCAGTTCTTTTTATGAAATATAAGAATTTGACACAATCCTCAAGGATATCAAGGCAAACCGGAATGGTTTAAGAGGGCTTTTGATTTATAAATGTCCCCGTTGATTTTTATTGCATTTTGATTGGTCATTTTATGATTTTATGGGTGATTTAATTTAAGGGGTTTGTTTGCTGATACACCATTTTACTTACACATGGTGGACATTTATTGTTGAGACTGTAACCTACTGGGATCAATGCATCAGGCAGAACATTGAGCAAACAAATTAAAAAAAAAAACTTAATTCCAAGGGTAAACATTGACTATTCACTTTTAGGTAAGCATTTATTTGTTTTAGCTTTGTCATCCGCCCAAACGTATACTGGATAGGTACGACAAAGTCCAAAAACGGGCACTAAAAACATATATGGATAATAAAAATCCACAATCAAAATATAATTAAAATAAAACATCTGTCCTGTAATTTCCATAAGTGTAAGTGATTCTGGAAATTCTAGTCCAACTGGGTTGGCAGTCATGATTTTACAACAGAGACTGCTCTGTGTTCTGGACAAAAGAGAAATAACGTTACTTTGATCTGGTCTAAGTGGTGTGATAAACCTGGGGAACACCACTTTTTCTAATCCAATTAGCAACCATGGATGTTCTTGATTCTACGTTGAGCAGTTGAGCAGTTGAAGGAGATAAAGTGGTTGCTTGACTCACTCATTCTATCATCTATCTATCTATCTATCTATCTATCTATCTATCTATCTATCTATCTATCTATCTATCAGTCAAATGTATATGGCTGCCCACCTCACAAGAAGTGACTCTGGGTGGCTGTGAGCTAGAGATATAAAAGATACATGTATTAAAATGGAAAGTACATAAAAAACAAGAGTCTAGAAGAATCTAAAAGAAGGAGTAGGAGCATTAGATGGGTGTAGGGGAGCATAAACATTTACTCTGTGGAAGACTCTATCAAATTACAGAGCACTCTAATGTGGTGAATTAGGTTCTCATTAAGTCTAGTTTACTCTGGTTTCTGTCCAGATCGTACAAATCTTCTTCAAATATCAGTGGCAAGAGAGCAATAGGTGGAGATGGTTATATCTCCATGTACTGCTTGTGAGCACACCGGAAGCATCTGGTTGGTCCACTAGATTGCTGATGGATTTCAGCCTGATCCAGCAGAGCTGTTCTTAAAAAAAAATGGTGATGGCCATTAACCTGGATGGCTTTCAGAGGGGGTTGGAGAAATTCACAGGGGACAGATCTGTGGAGATCTATCAATCCGGAAGATGCAATGTGACCTGTGGCTAAAGGCAGTCAGCCTCCAAACATGCAGGAAATAATGTTGGAGGGAGATAGGTTTCCTTCTCCTGCTTACAGACACCCTAGATGTTTGTGCTCATTCTGGGGAGGTCACAGAAGAGATGCTGGTGGACCACCATTTGATAGGGCTTATCGAGAATCTTCTTTTTCTGATATGAGCCCTCTGGGCTCCAGAGATAGGGGAGGAATAGTTATGAGACCTCCATTCCAGCCTTGGTTATCTTCTTCCTGTTGCAAACCACTGCAGCTCCATGATCAACTTGCTGTTCTCTTCAGCATGCAATCTGCAAAGTGGGCACCATGCTACCCCCCTAGGAACGGGGTCCTAAATGCAGCAGAAACCATGCACGCCCTACTGAAACTTTCTGCATTGGGGGAGTTTCCATCTGGCCCCGCCTGTCCTTGATATTGTCATAGCTATTAATAATAGGAGCTCATTCGCAGATGCTGGCTGTTTTTCAAACCTAATGGAAGGACTACCTCTCCTCCTACAATGGGGCCTGTGTTCTCCTTGGGAATCTCCAAGCCTCTTAATGCATGGATTTCACAGCTGGAGTTGCTGCATTTTTTTTTTCAAAGAACGATGCAATTGTCCATTTGAAAAGAGAAATTTCTCCCCTCCCCTGCCTCGCTCAGCTGCAGTGTTTCCAGACAAAAATCGTTTGAATTTCAGAGAGCACAACGTAGTCATTGTCTGCCTTTGGTGGAGAAAGGGCTGAGGGAAGAGAAGGCCCCCTGTGAACAGAATATAGTTGGATGTCAGTTTTAATTTAAGGAGTTAGTGCATCATTGCTATAGAGAAGGGCTTTCTTCCTGATGTTTTTTTTTATTAGAGATTTTATTAGAGCTTTTTCCCCTATCCTCCCAACCAGATGCCTTCTCAGAATCTGGAAAACATCAGCCTCAACTAAAGGGCCATTGGTTGGGAAATGATTATCATTTTACAAGATCATTTTGCATCGCTTTAGGTCCCCAAAGGGATAGAGAAAAATTTGGGAAGGAGTTCAGAAGAAAGGCCATGGAGACTTTGCTTTGTCCTGCTCGTCCTGGTTCACACACCAAATTACACAACCCCACTGGAAGCTAGTTGAGTGAGCCCAGCCATTCGCTATGACGGTTAGCCAGGCCCACGTGTAGTTAATTCATTGTAACTACAGTTCTGAAAAACGCCAGATGAAGGGGAAGCTGGCTTGGCAGATAAGTAGATAAGGAGGGACTTATCTGTGTTAGTCCAGAAGTAGCTGTCAAGATGCTCTACCCTGTACTAGACCTTCTTGTTCTTATATTTTTCTGATGCAAGGCTTCATTTCCCAGAATGGCTCCATAAGAAATGCTAGAAATTTTTTTAAAAAAACATTTATTTGCAGAGGGGGGAGGGAGGGAGGGAGGAGGAAGAAGGAAAGGAAGGGAGGAAGGGAAGGGAGGGAGGAGAAAGAAGGGAAGGAAGGAAAAAAGGGAAGGGAGGGAGGAGAAAGAAGGGAAGGAAGGAAAAAGGGAGGGAGGGAGG